GGTCATGAAAAACGCTCGTTGTTGCATGTTCTGTGTGTTGTTTTTCCTTTGTTTCTCTATACACCTTAATCTCTCCGAAGGAGATGACAGCATCACAGCAAACCAATCTTTGTCTGGTTCTTTAAACCAGACAATTGTCTCTGCTGGACAAACTTTTGAACTGGGATTCTTCACAAGAGGTAATTTTTCCAGGTATTATGTTGGAATATGGTACAAAAATGTTATTCAACAGGCCATAGTTTGGGTAGCAAATAGGGAGAAACCCATTTCAGATATTAATTCTGCGGAACTAAAAATTTTAGATGGGAATTTGGTGCTTGTGGTTAAATCCCAGGACCCGATTTGGTCCACTAATGTAAGTTCGACAAACTCAAATTCTTTAGTGGCAACTCTAAATGATGATGGGAATTTAGTTTTGAGAGATGGGTCAGAACCTAGGTCAAGTGAAGGATTTTGGCAAAGTTTTGATCATCCAGCAGATACATTGTTGCCTGGTGCCAAAATTGCTTATGACAAACGTACGAAAGCAAAGCAGCTCCTCATTTCTTGGAAAAATTCTGAGGATCCAGCACCTGGGCTTTTCTCCCTTGAATTAGATCCAAATGGAAGTCAGTATCAGTATATCATAAAATGGAATAGGACTCGACAGTACTGGACTAGTGGAGCTTGGAATGGGCACAATTTCAGTTTAGTCCCTGAAATGACGCGGAATAGTATCTTTAATTTTAGTTATGTAGATAATATTAATGAGGCTTATCTCACTTATTCTCTATATAATCCTGAAAGTATATCAAAATTGGTGATAAATGTTTCCGGGCAAATTAAGCTGACATCATGGTGGCAGGGTGCGGAGGATTGGAATTCGGCATGGTCTCAGCCTAGACTGCAATGTGAAGTGTATGGTTATTGTGGGGCATTTGGTACCTGCAATCAGAATTCATCGCCCTACTGTTCGTGTTTACGGGGATTTAAGCCGAAGTTCGAGAATGATTGGAATTTGAGGGATTATTCAGGTGGTTGTGTAAGAGAGATTGTTTTGCCGCAGTGTGGTAATGGTAGTACTTCTACGGGGAAGAAAGACAAGTTTTTGCAGAATCCTCAAGTTAGTTTACCTGTAAATTCTCAAACGGTGATTGCAGGTAGTGCTGGAGAATG